AATAATTCTCTAAAACTTAAAAGTAGGCTTGGTACCCATACGACAGTAGGCTAAGGTACATCTAGGCCTAGACCTGGAAGCTCTAGGCCTAAATTATGACTATGTTGCTAATGCTATGAATTTGACTGAAAGAATTGTTTTGTTTTTACAATGTAGGCCTACTTCACATTTGAATATTTTCATTATTCCTTCAAATGTAGGCTATCGTCAAACAACTCCCTTTTTTTATTTGTATATTTCCGTCAACAATATCAAATCAAGGCCTAATAATATTAATAAAACCTTGTGTTTGTCGGCCTAGATTCAATTTGTTTTTTACTGGCTAACAAATAAAATTAGCTGTTAAATATTTCCCCAAAATAACAATGAATTAAACTTCTAAATAATTAGTACGAGAACCATTATATAATGATAAAATTTTGAATAAATTGTCTTTGTGCTTTGTGACAATTCAAGTACTGGTATCCGACTGTACTACTACAGTCATTTTATTGACTTACCACGGCACTAATCTCAAACGAAATGATGTAATTCGTCAACGGAAAATCCAGAATTTTAGCCATTATTAAGCTTTCATATTTCATATGAAAGCTTATTGTTTCTGTTAAGATTATTATTGTTATTATTATTTTTTTTGTGTGTGTTTTCTCCACAAATCGGATTTCTCAGAATCTAACCATAGGATCTTTCTGAAACTTTTACCTATCCCCCCAAAAATGGGTGGTGGCTGTTGATTAAATATATTTTCAAAACGTTTTAGGAATCCGAAATCACTGAATTTTACGAACGAATGCATTTGACCTACATTGCTGTAACTTTGTGACTATTTGACCTATTTAACTAAATCTTTTTACTTTGAGTACCTCGAGACAAATACTTCAAATCTGCAGATTCAGATTTACGAAAATTCGTCGCTGTGATTTCGAACCGGTATTTATGACCAATTTGAAAACTTCTTTAATAGTTGTACGATTTTCATGAAATTTGGCATATAAGTAGACCTTACCGATGCGACTTCAAAAATATGATTAGAAATTTGCTAAATTATTTCCCCTTAATGAAATTAAGGATCAAAATTTTCAAAAAAATCAGCGAAATATAGGTCAGAATGACCTAATTTTGTTTTTCGATACTAGACAAGTAATTACTGATTCATATACAAAATATGGAGTTTGTCGATCGAACCGGAAATGCCACCATCTTGAAACGTGAAAAGTCCTAATAACTTTTGCGATATTGCACTTACAGACATGGGAGTTATATTTTGATTTAGGTCAACTGATGGCCGCCATTTTGAAGTGAATATGAAAAATAGCGAAAAATCGACATTTACGGTCTTCTAAACAAACACAATAGGGCATAGTATGTTCAATATGTCTCCTATTTCTGAAATGAATACATTTCAGGATAGCCGGGATACGGGTCGAATGTTTGGTATTTGAATATTTCAAAAATTCGAATTTCGCCTTTGATGTTTTCCGTGCCGACAAGGTTGTTTTCAAGTGTAGGCCCGCGTATGCACGTCACAACCCTACTATCGTGCACACCAACTTGAAACTCACCGGGTATCTGGCTTATGGTCCCAAGCACAATTCCAAACAAGAAATTTTAGGGCCCGACCCATGGGGGGCGAGCGGTGGCCATTTTCCCGGGGGTACATAAAGTAAAACAAGAAAATAGAGATGGAACTAGGTGTTCGATTTTAATTTGGAGACAATTTTTGGATGCGCCAAGGTCGGAAATGGGGGGTTAGCTGAAGTTTCGAAGAGATAGGTCCATTTTGTAAAAAAGTCCCTACATAAAAAACATATTTAGCTGCTTTTGACTTCGCGCATGCGCAACGCTGGAACCAAAGGTACCATGTCTACCAATTTCCGGCTAGGAACTTTTCACGTTGGTACCTAGGTGCCCTGAAAATTTCAAGGCGATCCCTATCTTCCTTCAAGTCGTTTGTTCTTGGCACGGCTCCAGTTCTGTAAGGGGAAAAAGGAGGAATTTCACCACGACACCGGAACGGATTGTCCGAGAACCATAAAATTTGGACACAATACGCCTATTACCACCCCAGATTCTGTACTTTACTCCCATTTTGATTCGATTAAAAAAAAGGAGTTTTAGCAAAAAAAAGAGATAGGTTGCCAGGCAACGAAACATACGCCCACAGCAGCTAAATCGTCCGGGCAGTCAACAAGTATTGTCGCATATTTTTACTTCTTTCGGTAATGAAACATTTATAATACACTAAAATCTGATAAAGAGTAACAACTCATGAAGTAATTATCAGAAAACGATTAGAATTTGTTTAGTTTTTATAAAGTTCTGCCCCATGCTAACGTTTAGTATACAAAACTTTTAATATCATGGATTTAGCTGTTCAAGTCATAAAAATTCATTGAAAATCAATATACTTGTTCGTCTCAAGCTCTTAAACTCTTTGTATCAATCTGAAGTCAACTCTGGCAGTAATTATCGGAAATCGCTGAAAATCAATAGACTTCTTCGTCTCATAACCTTAAACACTGTGTATCAATTTAAAGTCAATCGGATATTAACTTTGGCCTTTAGAGCGTCCAAACGATTTTTTGAAGTGATCAAGAGCCATAACTCTGGCAGTAATTATCGAAAATCGCTGAAAATGAATAGACTTCTTTGTCTCATGACCTTAAACAACGTGTATAAATCTAAAGTCAATCGGATATTAACTTGAGCCTCTAGAGTCTCCGCAAGATTTTTCAAAGTGATCAAGGGCCATAACTCTGGCAGTAATTATCTGAAATCACTGAAAATCAATGGACTTCATCGTCTCATGACCTTAAACACTGTGTATAAATTTTAAGTCAATCGGATATTAACTTTGACCTGTAGAGCGTCCACAAGATTCTTTTAAGTGATCAAGGGCCATAACTCTGGCAGTAATTATCGGAAATCGCTGAAAATCAATAATCTTCTTCGTCTCATGACCTTAAATAGTGTATATAAATTTAAAGTCAATCGGAGATTAACTTTTGCTTGTGGACGCCGGACGGACGGACGGACCGAAAGACAGACGGGGGCGACGACAATATACGACCACATTTCAATGTGGGCGTATAAAAACGATTTTCGGAATTTAATATTAGTTTTAATTTTGAAATTGCAAATGCAATGCCTAAAAAACGTTCAGAACAGAATTTTGATTTCGGTCAACTGAAGGTCTCCATTTGGAATTGAATATGGAGAATAGTGAAAAATCCACTTGAACAGACGTGAAAATAAACACAATAGGCCGTAATATGTTCAATGCGTCTATTATTTCTGAAATTAATGCATTTCAGGATAGCTCGGGATCAAGATCGATTTTTTGGTGTTTGAAAATTTTCAAAATTTCGTATTTCGCCTTTTGACCTTTTATGTGCCGACAAAGTTGTTTGCAGGACAATTTATGCCTTTAATTTGCAAAATTTACAAATTTAACCTAAATATTCGAACAGCTAAGGTCAATCTGATTCAAAAAATATTAGTTCCGTTCAAAGTTATTTCATTTATTTTTTTGATATTTTCCTGCCCCTTTTTAGTTCTTTCCCGCCATTTTCGTTTCATGTTCTCATCCGTCCTGTTTTTAAACGGCTTGATCTATTTTTCTGAAACTTTTGGAACGGAAAGTCATTCCGATTACAGCAATCCAAGTCTCAGTTATTTCCCTTTAGTTTCCATATTATTTTGTTGCCCGGGTGCAATGTTTCTCACTATATTTAGACTTGTAACTTTGCGACTTTTTCACCGATTTTGATAATTATTTTTTGTTGTTCTTTTTTCTTTTAAGATACTTGATATAATCCATGTCACGTGAGGATGAATATGAAAGCTTTCATATCTGCATGGGACAGTAGCAGATCTAGTTTAAATTATTTTTTGTTGGCTTTAATTCTTTTTCCATTCTAACTTTATTTGGGTATTACAATGGTCAGAAATCATATAATTATTATCAGTAAGTTCGTTCCTCCATACGACCTGGAAATGGTTCTCGGATACCCGTGTGGATATTTTCCGGTTTCATTTTTATTTGTGTGCACATTAAATACTTCAAATTAGGCATGAATAACAGAAAATTTAGTAATTCAGAACATTGAAAAATATTTGGTGTTAAACGTATATATATAATATAGACGTGCGGTAGCTGGGAGGAAACTTCCATATTCCTATAAAAAGCGCGCAAATATGAATCATGTGATGTAAACATTGTGGAGGGCCCTGTCGAGAGGCATTAAAATAATGGAATTAATTATCGTTATGTCTTTTCAGGCAAGTCCTTTATTTATATAACATAACGCTTACTTCATGAATTAAAATTGAGTTGCATTTCGACATAATTTACCGTGAATATGGGTCTTAGGAACTTGAAATTAATCTTTTCTTCTTGTGTATAAATGACGTCATCACATGCCAAACTACGTTATTAATTTTCCAGAAAATTATCCATTGTTGTATACCATTTTCAAATGCTCGACGGCGGTTCCTAACATGCTCTGATTTTGTTGATTTTAATAGCATTGAAACGACAATAAAACAAACTTTCGATCAATTGGGAAGGCTATATTGGCAAATCGCCTCAAAAAAAAGATTACTTGAATTGAAGTGTTCAACTTACAAAAAAGGCAAGTTATTTGGAAATGCCAACAAAGCACCCCAGACCGACCAAAAGATCGTTCAATTATCTTTCTAATGATATTAAAATGAAAAGATAATATTAAAAATAAGAACCGCCGCCGAGCACTTGAAGTGGAGTACCCTCGTTTCAAAACGTGACGTAACATCAAAAGACGCGAAATTGACGTTTTTTAACGTACGTTTTTTAAATTAATATAAGGAACACGTATATAAAAATTATATCAAACAAAAAAACAGTTTATCTGCTTCCAAAACATCTTTAAATTATTACAAATGATTAAATGGAGCTGTGACACCTACTAACTATTTGTAATCATTTGTATGAAGAGAGTAAGAAGTTGAACGAGCCTTACCATAGTTTGAAAACATGAATGTAGTTGAACAAGGAATGGTGGTTTGTTTGCCAATGCTAGGACCCGTTTTTCTATCATTGTACATTCTACATCGTCATCTTGAATAATCACATCTTTCTTCAAAATTTTGATTGCATAAAGTTCATCAGTACCTTTTCTTTCTGCTAAAACTACCTGTAAATATAGAGCGTCACAATAATTTAGTTTTAACAATGCTATTTATTCCACAAGCTGCAAAACATATCCCCACAGTAGCTAAGTGTCAGAACTGTTAAAAAAAAGGTTATTCTATAGGTAAGACCAGGGTTCTGAATCCATTTTGAAACGAATCGTCTAGAATTGGGTCAAATGAGGTCCCAGTAAGAACTGGGTTATAAAATTTTAAGCTTCCATTCCCTTTAATATAACCACACTTCACCAAAAATAATTCTTGGTAATTTGTTATGAGGAATATCGTATTCTACTGTATGTAATTACTACAAATCTAACGACAAACAGGTACACCGTTCGGAAAATTTTTCATATTTAATTCACGTACAGGCTTGAAATTCATGTCAGTAATATGTAATATTCCTGAATAAATTACTGTATTCGGGTTTTTTTTATGGATATAAAAGTTGATACAGCACATGGTTTTTCTTCATAACGCAATTTGTAGGGTTATTTTTCTATCACCCAAATTCCAAATGTTTTTATTCATTTGTCCATGATAGACAAACGGCACAGTGATCATGTGACAACCATAATTGAAATGGGTTTACAATTAAATTCCATACGACTAAGCCATATAGCTTTCAATAATAATAAGACAACATTTTAAAAATCAAGCCTTTGTCAGCATGTGTATCAAATAAAAAATCATAACGGTAAACGCTATTTAAAATTAAAACTAGCATCACTGGTTTATTGACCTAATTCTAACCATGTTGGCGTTGGAGATTCACATTCTATTATTAATGACTGTGTTCTATCCGAGGATTATATTCAACTAAGATTTAAATTTAACTAACAACAGGTCAGTGAAACCATTAAATTATGATCCAAATATTATTTTAATATCTACCGGTACACCTGGAATTCATACAAACCGTTGAAGGTGTGCAATAGATGCACAATCCATTCCGAGATCGCATTGTCTTCCTTCGTTTGCCACATGACCTATTTCCTCAAGGCAACTTACTGGACCTGTTATGAATAATCAGCAAACTTGTTTTGTCTTTTCACCAGATTATCAAAATTACCGTTACTTGTGCTAATTACAGTAAAATCTGCATTAAGCAGCCACCCAAGGGAATTTTCACAACTGACCGCTTAATGGGATTGGCCTCTTAATAAAACCTCGGTGCTTTTTGTGCTGACATAAATTAAATATTACGCTTGGATGCATTGGAAGCGGTAAATTTGACTGTCGATGAATCTTGCGCCGAACGAAAATTCTTAAATTAAATCTCGGACATAACTTAACAAGAGTGGCCTCTTAATAAAATCTTGGTGCTTTTTGTCTTGACATAAATTAAATTTTACGCTTGAATACATGGGAAGCTGTAAATTTGACCGTTGCTGAATCTTGCGCCGAACGAAAATTCTTTACTCAAATCTCGGACATAACTTCTGTAAACTTGTCATTTTGTACCAACCTTCGATACTACTGTCTACCATTGTGATGCATTCGATAATATTTATTCATTTTTGTAAAGAAAATCGATGAATTAATTTTATTTTATCAAAAAAGCACATGAATAAAAAAAACATCGCTGATTTTATCACCCATTTACAGGGGGTGTAACTCTGTATGTAATATTATATAGGAGGCGCTAAAATGTCTGTTTAACAATAAAGTGGCAATGGAAAATAGTACTAGATGATCGTGACAAAACTCGGTCCTTTTAATTTATTCAGTCAGTATCAAATAATGTGTCGTTACGCGTGAAAACAATGATCAAGTTAGTTGTTTAATAAAACAAAAGATTAATTAATAGATAATCCCGGGTTGATTGTTATTTTTACATTTCTTTGTATCTGATCAGTGGGGGTTCAGTTAATTAACTACTACTTACAGGATTAGCGGGGATGTTATAAAGAACGACAAGATGGTATCATTCAACAATGGCCGTTGAATGGGCGATGTTTTGTTGAATTTATTAGTAAAATAGTGACCGCTGGCCGTGTTAGAGGAGTGACTGTTGAATAAAGAGATGAAACAACAGAATTTTTACAGGGGGAATTTATCGTGACCGCTTACAAGGAGATGTCGCTGAATAGGAGTGGCTGCTCATACAGATTCTACTGTACTCGGATTATGAACCACATGGCCGATTCTTACTAATGTATGACTGTTATTGTAGCCGACAAGCAAGTTGATTGACTTCTTAATTAACAAGTAATAATTAACCCGCTTTAATTTAGCCGAAAGTATATTGATTTATGATAACATAGTGGCCAGTTCATTGTTTTACCAATCGACTTGACTGAACTTTAAACATACATTATGCAAGAGCAAAATCGGCCTATTGTAGGTCTTTCTTTAGGCCTGAAATGTTATAAAAACTATTAATTAGACATTAATTAACTTATCCAGACCATAATTAGCTCTCGATGTCAAGGCTTGCCTGCGATATTTGTTGGATTACAGTCCGATTTGCTGCAAAAATTTCCTTTGTGATTAACGATTAAATGGATAATCAAGACTATTAGTTTTGTCTTATCGTCTTCAGTAATGATGATCGAGGCTAAGCAGAACTTTCATCCGCTTGGTTCTCAGTTCATAGTGGATCAATTTGACTGAAATTTTCAGCAAGTTGCCTTTACATTATGTAGTTTTTAACTATTATTATAGTTAGAACTGCCAACTCGTTATCTAATCTCCCATAATGTATCTTTAAGCGGCTAAAGCCAACAAAATAACTGCCGATTAAGATCCCTCAGTAAGACATAGATGTAGGCTTGTCAAACTCTCTAATCTGCCGCCCACCGGCATCAAATATGTAAATGCCTCAACAGCAAATCACCTAATTAGGCTTCCTTGTCTACAGTGAAATTTTGCCCAGACAACAGCTTTTCCATCTACTCTTCCTTAAATATACATGCATGTATGGAAGTATAACGTTGCAAATATTATTTCATTGTTCACGGTGCAAACTGCAAATGTCAGTAGTTCAAAATACCGGGGTACGTCCACGCTGCATCAAAAAGCACCCAAACCAGCTTTGGTGGCAAACTGTTTTGTATTTCACAGAGACAAGGGTTGAATAAACTACTAGATTACAATAATCCAGAAGCCTCCTATGCTGGCTTTTTGAGATATATTACCGTAAACATACTAAAAATATGGGGGAATCGTGTTAGGGTAGACTCACTGCGCACGCACTAACTTCTAAACTAGCTTTGGTGGCTCCAGGATCTTTATTTCACCCAATTGACATGTGCATAAGGTATGAACATGACAAATTTCATTAACTTTCTATGTTGGCGTATGGAGTTATACCACCAAAAAGTTAATAGCATAGGATTCGAGGCGAGGTTCGTGGGTACAATAAACATGGGGTACGCCTACGCTGCATCATAAACGCACCCAATCCAACTTTAGTGGCAAAATGTTTTTTGTTTCACAGAATCAAGGTCTGAATAAACTACTAGACTGCAGAATTTCAGAAGCCTCCTATGTTGGCTTTTCGAGATATATTACCGTAAACGTACTAAATATGTGGGGGAATCGAGTTAAGGCTGGGCTCACTGCGCACGCAATGACTTCTAAACTAGCTTTGGTGGCTCCAAGATCTTTATTTCACCAAATCGACAGATGCATAAGGTGTGAACATGCCAAATTTCATTAACTTTCAATGTTGGGGTATCGAGATATACCACCGAAAAGTTCCCAGCACCAGATTCGAGGCGGGGTTCATGGGTACAATAAACAAGGGGTAAGCCCATATTTCATCAAAAAGCACCCGAACCAGCTTTGGTGGCAACATGTTTTGTATTTCACAGAGTCAAGGGATGAAAAAACTACGAGAATACAAAAATCCAGAAGCCTTCTATGCTGGCTTTTGGCGATATATTACCATAAACGTACTAAATATGTGGGGAATCGAGTAAGGGTAGGCTCACTGCGCACACAATAACTTCTAAACTAGCTTTGGTGACTCCAAGATCTTTATTTCAGCAAATTTTCTTTTGGGGGGGGGGGGGGGTCTATTACATATTATTATATACTTTGTATTAATATGTCTTAAAATGTTATTTTCTAATATAAAGGTAACAATTATTTTCGTGATAATTATATCTAGGTTTTTATTGGCGCTAGGAATATGTGTGCTAACTTCATTTCGAATCCGGGTGCTGGAATACGGGTGAGAGATTCCGCTCGGTTACTATAAGATTCTTTAACCTTACCCAAAAAAGGGTTTTAACTTTATATTTATAAGATATTCAATTTAATTTTTAACAAGAAATTGATTCACTTGAAATATCTGTTTTTTTACCGATGAGAACAAATAAGAATAGTCTCGTTAAACCCGACTATTATCTTTCAGAATCCTCTAATCGTCGAACTGATTACATTATAGAGCCTGGATGTTGAAGACTAATAAAATTGAGTACTGTCCCCTTCTAATGACCTCGGCATTATGGCTTTATCCCATAAATCATTAATAAGAATAGTCTCGTTAAACCAGACTATTATCTTTCAGAATCCTCTAATCGTCGAACTGATTACATTATAGAGCCTGGATGTTGAAGACTAATAAAATCGATACTGTCCCCTTCTAATGACCTCGGCATTATGGCTTTATCCCGTAAATCATTAATTTCCGTCATAGGCCGGATTTTTTTCCGTATGCAAATGACGTACGTCGTACATCCCATATAAGGTATATGTTCTACTATGCAAGGTTCTATTATGCATTTGTCTATTATGCAGAATGCAGAAGTGTAATGTGCAAAATAACTATTCTACTGTATTTTGTATTATTGAAAAGTGTATTCTATATTTTAACACCGTGACATTGGTATTGTTGAGCAATGGAAATTTTAAATTGTAAAACTAAACTACGTATTTTGAACTACTGACATTTGCAGTTTGCACCGTGAACAATGAAATAATATTGGCAACGTTATCCTCCCATATGTATGGGACCTTGATTTCTCATACCATCCAAACAACTAGATGGTTCCTT